TGGGGAATTGGGGAATATGGTGGTAGGCAAGCTGAGTGGTTAACATTTAAAAAAAGTAAAAAAAAAAAAAAATCCCACCCCCCCTTTACCCAGTCCTAATAAAAATTTGCACCTTCTCTGCAGGTTGATTACTGCATACAGTGATCAAAATACAGATCACAGTATTATACTGTGGTGTGATTAAAAAAAAAAAAAAAAAAGGAAAACTGAGGTTTACCCTTTTTTATTTATTTATTTTTAACCCTCAGGGGTTCAATTTATTTCATTAATTTAAAATATTTAAAAATTATATATTTTGCTAGCTGGGGTGGGTGGGAGTTATGGGAAATTGGGGAATTTGCAGTTGTTGCTGTTTACTCCCAGTTAGTGGTTAACGGTTAAAAAAATAAAATAAAATATAATAAATAAAAAGTTTATAAAAATGTTAAGTGTAAAAAAAGTTACATTTAAAAAAAATGCTCATTTCCACTGAACCTGGAAATAACTAGTGGAAAAATGATCCCACGCTAAGGTTTAAAATATGCCTTTTGAAATATCCCAGGGTGTATTCTTTAAAAAAATGATATGCGTTTGTGGAGTAGTTTGAATAACAAACCAGCTAAACTACTCCAAAGTGGAACATGGACACAGCGTAAAACTTCAAAGTTAGAAAAAAAAAAATAATAATCTGTCTGCGTCTCAAATTTGCCCCTTCACCATCCACATATACCTGGCAAAGGTGCATATGGGGGTATTGTTGTACTCAGACGACATAGCTGAGCAACATATGAAGTATTATACAGCTGTAGCACACATAAGGTTTGCAAAATATACTGTGCAAACTCACTGTGTGTCAAAAAGTCAGAAAAAAATGCTCATTACTACTACACTTGGTACAAGCTAGTGAAAAAATGATCCCACGCTAAGGTTCAAAATATGCCTTTTGAAATAACCTGGGATGTCTTCTTTAAGAAATGGTATATGCCTTCATGGTGTAGTTGGAATATGTATAGCCTGCTCAAGTGCTCCAAAGTGGGACACGGACACATCAAAACCCTCCATGAAAATTCACACTTAAAAACCTGAACTTGTCACTGTAACTTTATAAAATAGTGTCTAGGTCATACATTGGGCCTATTGTTTTACTCAGAAGATGTAACGGAGCATAATTTGGGAGATTTTATGACGTAAAAATTACACCCCCCTCCCCCCCACCACAAACCGCATTAATTGGTGAAAAAATGGTGACAAGTTAAGGCACAATATACGCCATATAAGATACCCTGGGTGTCTGCTTCATCAAATGAAAGCGTTTTGGTGGGTTATTTGAACAGTCAAACTGTTATAATACCCCAAAATGAGACATAGGCCCATCAAATCCATCCATGAAAATTCTAACTATAGAAACTGAAATAGCCTTATCGCTTATATGGCATTGTAGATTCACAGAATAGTGCCAAAGACATACAATGGGGGTATCGTTATACTCAGCAGATGTAGCTGAACACAATATGGGGTTCTGTGCAGAAATAGCACACACCAGCTTTACGAAATACACATTACAAAAACTATGTTATGTGAATATGCCAAAATAGAAAAAACACAATTTACTCCAATATTTAGCAGAGATTGGCGATGAAATGGCTAAGTGTCAAAATAACCTCTGATGTCTACTTTATATAAATATATACTTTTGTGTGGTAATTTTGTTTTCTGTGATGGTTACTAAACCTTCAAGACAAACATACCAACTTCTAAAATTTTTACTTTGAAATTTTATTTGTCGTATTTTGTGCCCTGTAACTTTCAAAATAAGCTGAAATTCTACACATATTATGTAGTCTATAAATCAAGACACATAAATGAATTTATTTTGAATTACTTTTCGTAAGCTGGACATATTTTGCACACGCTATATTGCCAAAACTGTGGGGAGGGGAAAAATATTTTCTTTTTGTTTTCCCATTGTTTTGTCATTTTTTTCTACAATTATTAAGAATTTATCTATTTATATGTGACATCAAATTAAAGCCCTTTTAATAGAATATTTGTATGTCTGTCAGCATGCAGAGCTAAAAAAATAAGGTACATTATAGATCAATGATTATTTGGCATATAATATCAATTTGTGATATATCATGAGACATTCATGCAATGTTTATATTTTTGGTAAATTAATTCCATGAAGCGAAATAAATTGATCTTTAGATATTTTATAGCATTTTTGCTGTGAAAATGGGCATGTTATCTCTGCAAAGTTCAGAAAGCTTTTTAATCCCATAGTTATCCTCCAAACATGAGTGATTTAACCTATTAAACTGTAGATGGCTTATCTTGCAATAATTTCGTCATTATCCATCTATGTATTTATTTAATATATAGCAATCTGAAGTTGGTAAATGTGAAAATCTTTATCTGGCTGCAAATGTTTAAAATAAACATTCTGCAAAACAAATTAAAAACATGAAGGTATTTATTTTCTTCCTAGTTTGCAACTTCCTCCTTATTTATTTTTCCTCTTCTCCAATTTTCCAGGCGGCAAACGGTTACAAGCACTCCTTGCTGGATCGAACTTCACCTGAATGGACCTCTGCAGTGGTTGGACAAAGTCTTGACTCAGATGGGCTCTCCATCAGTCCGCTGTTCAAGCATGTCCTAATGACCCCCTCCCTCTATGTGTAACCTATGGGTTCAATCTGAAGTCCCAGCTACAGACTTAATACAGCTTGTCTGTCATAGTAATTGTGTGTGGTCCCCATGAACTGTTTACAATCCAAAAGAAAGTGGAAAAACAGCACTTGAGGTCCCATCAACTAAAGCACCTTGTTGGATTCTGTTTCTGATACTCTTATGAAAGTAGATGAAATCTTAGTGTAAAAATAAAATGACTCCTTACTGGGGAAGGGACATTTTAAGGACATGTAATGGTGTATTATTGGGCATATAATTGAGTGTCCAAATGGTTTAACAATAACATGAGTACTCCTTATGTAAGTGTCATGTATAGTGTTCTCCAGCTGTTCATTGGTCAGGCAGCATGTGGCCTTCTTGCTGTTGTTGAACCTTGAGTTCCATGCTCCTTAGCTTAATGAGACTTCTAGTAACTGCTTGAGGGACACAAGTCTCCCAGCCCTCACCGATTCCCTAAATGGAATATTCCTGCTTCTTTATCTTAGTTGCAAACCTTGATTTAAGTTTTTTTCATTATTATTTCCCATAGTATATTTGTATTTCCCCTCCTGTGACCTCTTTCTTTTTTATTAATGTGCCCTAATGGTGCAAATGCTTGCTAAGGTAAAACTGACTTTCCTTACATGTCTTTTCCTAGCAACCAGGGACCCTTAATGCCTCCCAATTATCCATTTTTGGACTGGAATTAATTTGCATCAAATAATTATTCTATGGTGTCTTTTCAAAAGCAGGCCATCTTGTCACACAGTGTGTATGCCAATTTGAAAGCACCCCAGCCCCCTTTCATTGTTTTTATAAAAATAAGGTTGAGTTTTGAGGTGGAAATTGTTTTAATTTTTAAAGTGCGTGTTATTGTCAACCCTTGGACACTACATTTGCACCCTATAAAAATATTTAGAATCATATTCTACAGATGTCCATGTTTAGCGAGGGTGGGGGCAAAGGTTGTTTAGAAAGGGTACTCTGACTAAAACAAATGTACATCTTACTAACCATTTTCTTCTTTAGCTGTCTGTCATTCTTTTATAATTGTGGCAGTGGCAAGATTGCCTTTTCTTCTTCGACTCTATCCCCTTGGTTATATCTATTACACTAGTTGTGTACTTTGTAAGTACAGCTAGTGAAACTTGTTGGCTTTGAGAACAAAAACATGGCCAGTGTTAGGGCGTTTCATCATTTGGCAAAAATTGTGATGATTTTTGTATGCCATATAGTTTAGTGCAGGGGTAGCCAATGGGTAGCTCTTCAGCTGTTGTATTACTGCAAACTCTAGCAATGGTCATAGTGGAAAAAGTACTTTGTGTATAAGCAGAGTTGTAGACTCACAGCAACTGGAAAGCTCCATAATGTCTCTCCCTGGTTTAGTGCATAGAGGCAATTCCAAAACTAAGTTGGGAAAGTAAATCTGGTAGGCCAAACCATGAAGAAAACAAAACAAACAAACAAAAATAAAATAAAAATTGGCAAAGCATTTAACATTTGTGAACTAGTTTTACCAGTAGATTGGTGTATTGGTAGAACTTGTGAACTTAAGACATAAGCTTTGTGCGTGTTGCAATTGCCGAATATGTGAATACACTAATAAAAGATTTAATTCTCACTTTGTAATTTTCTTTTCATGTGGTTTGCTCAATCGCCCAAGTTTCAGTGAGACTGACTGTAAATAGTGTTTTGTGCAGATTGGTCAGGGCTCGAGTCCTGCAGGAACGCATGGGAACGGCGTTCCTGCACTTTTTCCAAAGCAGGAACGCCGTTCCCGTTACCTGTCCTGCAGGACCGGCCCTGCTACCTGCACAGAGGGGCCATCACAAGCTGTGTTCCCTCTCCAGCTATAACTCTCGCGAGACCCGCGGCTGTTACCATGGCAACGCTCCGCACAGGCGAGTCTCGCGAGAGTTAGAGCTGGAGAGGGAACACAGCGTGTGATGGCTCCTGTGTGCAGCGGCTGGCTCCCTCCAGCATACCACCGGACCACCAGGCGATCTCCCCCCTCCCTGACAAGGTAAGAAGCAGGGAGGGGGGAATAAAATAAACATATAAAGTAAGAAAAAAATGCCCCCACACATCATCCAGCACACACACACACATCATCCAGCACTCACACACACATCATCCAGCACTCACACACACATCATCCAGCACTCACACACACATCATCCAGCACTCACACATCCATCATCCAGCACTCACACATCCATCATCCAGCACTCACACATCCATCATCCAGCACTCACACACCCATCATCCAGCACTCACACACCCATCATCCAGCACTCACACACCCATCATCCAGCACTCACTCACACACCCATCATCCAGCACTCACTCACACACCCATCATCCAGCACTCACACACCCATCATCCAGCACCCACACACCCATCATCCAGCACCCACACACACATCATCCAGCACTCACACACCCATCATCCAGCACTCACACACCCATCATCCAGCACTCACATCCATCATCCAGCACTCACACACCCATCATCCAGCACTCACACACATCATCCAGCACTCACACACCCATCATCCAGCACTCACACACCCATCATCCAGCACACACACACATCATCCAGCACTCACACACACCCATCATCCAGCACTCACACACACCCATCATCCAGCACACACACACCCATCATCCAGCACCTCACACACACACCCATCATCCAGCACCCACACACACCCATCATCCAGCACTCACACACACCCATCATCCAGCACTCATCACACACACACATCATCCAGCACTCACACACACACATCATCCAGCACCTCACACACACATCATCCAGCACTCCACACACCCATCATCCAGCACTCACACACCCATCATCCAGCACTCACACACCCATCATCCAGCACACACACCACATCATCCAGCACTCACACACCCACATCATCCAGCACCTCACACACCCACATCATCCAGCACACACACACCCACCTATCATCCAGCACACACACACCCACCTATCATCCAGCACACACACACCCACCTATCATCCAGCACTCACACACCCACATCATCCAGCACTCACACACCCACATCATCCAGCACTCACACACCCACATCATCCAGCACTCACACACCCACATCATCCAGCACTCACACACCCACATCATCCAGCACTCACACACACATCATCCAGAACACGCTGCATTCATTATACACACTCTTCACTCACTACAAACACACTACATTCACTATACACACTCTGCATTCATTATACACATTCTGCACTCACTACACACTACATTCACTATACACACTCTGCATTCACTACAAACACACTACATACACTGCATTCATTGTACACACTCTGCACTCACTACAAACACACTACATTCATTATACACACTCTGCACTCACTACAAACACACCACATTCACTATACACACTCTGCATTCATTATACACACTCTGCACTCACTACAAAAACACTACATTCACTATACACACTGCATTCACTATACACACTGCACTCACTACAAACACATTACATTTATTATACACACTGCACTCACTACAAATACACTACATTTGTTATACACACTCTGCACTCACTACAAATACACTACATTCATTATACACACTCTGCACTCACTAAAAACACACTGCATTCATTATACACACTCTGCACTCACTACAAATACACAATTATTCACACTGCACTCACTACAAACTACATTTATTATACACACTGCACTCACTACAAATACACTACATTTGTTATACACACTGCACTCACTACAAATACACTACATTTGTTATACACACTGCACTCACTACAAATACACTACATTAATTATACACACTCTGCACTCACTAAAAACACACTGCATTCATTATACACACTCTGCACTCACTACAAATACACTACAATTATTATTCACACTGCACGCACTACAAACACACTACATTTATTATTCATACTCTGCATTCACTACAAACACAAACACACTACATTCATTATACACACCCTGCACTGCACTATATGCATAGGAGTGTAATTTTTTTTATTTTTTTTTAAGGGGGTGGAGGCGGGAATCTTGGGTGAGTTCCCACACCTTTTTCCCCAGGACTTGACCCCTGAGATTGGTGTACTATAATACAAATAGCGACAAGTCATTTGGCATCTAGATGTATTTATTACTGCAAGATGAAATAAAAATAAAAACCAACAGAGAGAGTTTTAAACTAGTAGCAAAATTAATACAGGGAAATGGTTTGCAACCAAGCAAAATGGCTGCTCAGATGCAAGCTCTTAGTTCTTGGGCTAATAACATTATGGAATAATACCCACCTTGAACTCTTACTGGTTTTAGACTGCTAGGCTGACACAGCAAGAGAGTTAGAAAATCAGTGCTACATCCAGTTTTAAAAGGCCAGCAGTCCCCTTGTGATGATTCCAAAGTAGACTTGAGAACCGGTGTAGGCTGCAGCTGAATGATAAGATGCAAGGGGCATGCACAATATCATCATAAAGAAGAGTCTTTGATTATGTCTTCCCAAAATGGAGGAACTACTGAAATCCTGTGTGCATGTGGGACCTGCAAAAAATAAAATAAAACTTCAGATGTAGGATTTTGTGTGTTGCATCTAGGACAAAGTAAATGCACATAATTTGGTTCATTTAACCCCTATTTAACCCCTTAAGGACCAAACTTCTGTAATAAAAGGGAATCATGACATGTCACACATGTCATGTGTCCTTAACCCCTTAAGGACTGGACTGTTTTTGCGATGTTGTACATTTGCGACCAGGCATATTTTTACACTTTTGTGGTGTTTGTGTTTGGCTGTAATTTTCCGCTTTCTCATTTACTGTTCCCATACAAATTATATATTGTTTTTTTCAGGACAAAAGGGGCTTTCTTTACATACCATTATTTATATAATCTCATGTATTTTAATTTAAAAAATACAAAAATCTGATGAAAAATTGAAAAAAATACATGTTTTTTGACTTTTACTTGAAAAATCTTTTACTCATCTACAAAAGCGAATGAAAAACTGCAGGCAGATACACGGACACCTATTGTGACCATGTGATCGCTGTGTTAAGCGATCACATGGCCACAGGGGTCCTAATCTGCCGTGGGGAGACTGTCTGGGCTGCAGGCAGTCTCCCCACAACCGGAGCACCGCTGATCGCCGCCGGGGGAACGACGGCGATCAGGTAAGTACCCCCAGACCGTTAGGTCCTGAACCGTCCTCGGTCCTTAAGGGGTTAAGGGGTTAAACCCCAATTAAAAATCAGGTGTGTCAAAATGTACAGACTTTTAGATGTTTGCAATGAACAAATCAAACAATCAAGTAAAATAACTCAACACAACAAATGTTTAAGCAGTATCCCCTAATTCAACTGAAATTGCAACATATGACCTAGTCTCAAAATTCTACAACCTCTTCATGGCAAGCCTCTTTAGTACATAGTACAGCACTCTTTTTTTTTTTTTTTTTTTTTTGTTATGACCTGCTGCAAGTGAAATGCATAGCCAGACACCGGCTTCTGGCAGTGTTACTGGGAAGAATCTTAGCTCATTGCTAATATGCAGTGGCCTCCTGTTCGGTAATACTCTTGGGTTTGTGTTCTGCAACTGCCTTCTTCAAATCAGAGCAGAGATTTGCAAATGCAATGGCATTAAAGTCTTGTGACTGTGATGGCCACTGTAGAATTTTCCAGGACTTCTACAACCAAGCTTCAGCGCCTCACAGACAGCATGTTTTCTCCTATGATTTGCCAATACTTCAATAAATCCATCTTGCCTTCCACATGCCACAATTTTACAGTGCCAAAGCAGGTCCAGAGCATCACCGAGCCACCACCATCATTAACTGGAGACAGTGTTCTTTCCAGCATATGTTTCATTCTTCCTCCAGACATACATTTGGTCCATTGGGCCTTAAAGTTCCAGTTTTGTTTCATCCCTCCACAGAACAAAATCACAATTTCTGCAGCTTATTTATATAATTTTGAGCTGACCTTTTTTCTTGTGCTTCTGGGTCAGTAGTGGTGTAAGTCTTCTGGCATGGACACCTTCTGCATTTAGCACATGCCTTACTGTGCTCACTGTAACATCAGTCCCCAGTCTTGCTGTAGGTATTTTGCAGTGACTCAAGGATTTTTCACAACCTGCCTTCTCAGAAATACTGTTGTAGCCATTGATAGCTTCGTTTTTCTGCCCCTTCATCTTTTTTGTGAACCATTCTTTTTAATGATGTCTCTAGGAACATTCAGTTTCTTTGCAATCTTCTTGTATCGAGTCTGGAGAAGTCATTGTAAGTTGCTTATTGACATACTTCCGGGTTTTTGCCCATTACCATTGTAACGGATTCTTGCTCATGGTTTTAAAGGCTGTTTTGCGTTCTTGTTTGCCACAGTCTCCCTACTATTCCTTGTATTTTTTTATTCTGTGCTTTTGGGTTTCTGCTCCTGGTTGCCTTTACAGATTGCTGTCCTGATGATCAGTGCATGACAGGTAAGTGTTATTTGTACTTGTATAATCTTATGTCTTAAAGCTCTAGGTTCAGTGTTTATGATTTAAATGTTCATTATTTTCTGATGATATCCTATTATAATTCTGTGATTCATATTCCATCTAGGCCACTACGCTCTGCTGAAGACCATCGTCAATCCTCTGTTCGTACTCCTACCTCTGACGCTCACCCTAAAGATTTCTCTAGGGCTACACCGTTCTTATGAAACGCCCTTCCTCTGTCTATTAGATTTTCACACAGTCTCCACTCCTTCAAAAAATCTTTGAAAATGTACTTCTTCAGGAACGCATATCAATTAAACTGTGACACTGTCATTGAAACAAAACACTAAGCCGTCAATGAACACTATCATAGCAACCTACTTTTCAACATTACCCCACTCCCTCTAGCATGTAAGCTCATTGAGCAGGGCCCTCAACCCCTTTGTTCCTGTTTGTCCAACTCGTCTGGTTACAATTACTTGTCTGTTAGTCCACTCATTGTACAGCGCTGCGGAATTTGTTGGCGCTTTATAAAGTTGGATGGGATCTATTATTGCAGATATGTTCTTTGTTCTTGTGTTTTTTCTGTATTCAGATTTTTTTTTTTTTTTCTATGAGCCCTATATTTTAACAGCTTAGATTTTTTTCATTGTGGTCTCATCAAGCCAGAAAAGTAATGGATCACAATCTAGACGTTCAAAGTATGACAATGAATTTTTTTTTTTTTCTTCTCCTTTGTTAGTCTGGTTGTAGCAAAAAGAGTTGCTTCTTATATTTTCTTGTCAGTTCCCTCGGGTCTACCAAGAAATCTATGGCTTTGCCTGCAGACAAGAGACCAAGACAGAACCACTGTGAAGCCTGTGATAAATTGGCAGAAGGAAAGAAGTTTTGTCTACAATGCATTACACTGGTGACAGAGCGCGCCCAGGGTCTTCTGGCACCATAACTTAATTTAGATGAATTTGTTATGGTGACCAGAGTTCCTTTAAGGCTGGTCTTTGTGCTTCTATACCTTTCTGACTTTAAATTCTAAAGTGCCCTGCCTGGTGAGCCAATATTCCTCTTATTCTTGCAATATATTTTCCTACAGTATTAGCACTATGGGCTAATCACCTTAAAGCCTGCCAGATAAGTGTTATCTTTTTGATGTGCAGACAAGGTATATACTGCATAGACTAGGTGTGGCATTTAAGAAGCTGTAGTAAGGGTCAGGCGGACGTAGTGTTTTATTAGACTAATTTTAAGAGCAGCTCTGTTACTTGCTGGGGTCTTTGCATACTTTGCAAAGACCCCTGATGGTTTCATGGTCCCTCGCTGTGCAGGGCAAGTTATGTTTTACTTACCTGAAGCTGTGCTTGGTTGCTGCCCCCACGACCAACCAGTGGCTCCTAGTGCTACACCTGCAATATTGAGTACAATATTGATGTTTATGGAGGATCCCATAGAAGCCTCCAAAAACTAACCATTTTTCTACTTACTAGTGAAAGCCGGGGGAAGTGACAAAACCTGATGGCGCTAGCTCTGCCTTTTGTCAAGCATAGGGAAAGCATAAATTAAAGTAATTCCTACTTTGTGAGGGGGGAGACTGTTAAAGGATTTTTTTTTTTTTTTTTGAGTTCGCATACTTGGGCCAAAAAGGTAAATAATTTATTTTTTAGCAAAATGGATCCACTATGATGGATAACATTTTAAAGGTCAGAAAAAATACTTGAAACCAATAAAGAATTTGTGAGTTTCTGTTCTATAAAACAGTGATTAAACAAGGCGTAGTCATTTGTTTTTGACTTTATATATTTATTTTTTTCCCCAAACTATTTTTATTGAACAATATTTTAAAAAATATATTTCACATTTGTAGCAGACAGTGGGTAACCTGACCAGTTACCTCCGCTAATTCCTTCCTTCAGCCACTCTGGAACCATCAAAATAAGCAGACATTCAGTTTACTTCAGTAACTGGACGACACACAGTTCTGGGAGTAGACTGTTTTTATTCAGGGCAACATGGTCTTTTTATGCAAAGTCCCCTGCTGCAAGGGGTTTCCATCACAAACATACAGAGACTTTTCTCCCAAGATCCTCTGTGCCTGAGAGATAATTGCACGAGGAAAGCTCTTTAATTTAATTATCCCTCATGTACAGGACAATCTACAATAGTTCCAAACACCCCACCAACACATTTTAATATTTCAAAATGGGTTCATTGATTGAATGGAAGGTCAGAGCTTACAACCCAAGTTCCTCTTTGAAGCTGGGACCCCAAAAGAGCAACTCTGCTAGGTGTGAGAAGTCACACACAAGTGGCATGGAAGTCTGGCTTCAGCACAAACGAACTCTCCCATTTGCCATATGTCTTGATTGCCTCTTAGATAGGAAGTCCTTTGACTTGTTAATGATCATTAGCTTTCAAGAACATAAAGAAACCCTTGTTTTAATATCATATCCAAAATAGATGTTAATACCCACCCACGGATCAATACTCAAGCCTCATTTTTATCATATTTAGAATGAGACAAGCACCATCTTCCAACCAAGCCCAAACATGATTTGCAAACAAGGGGAGATCCCCAGCATGATGACCTGAAAACAATGAGTAGGCACATTGGCATGGAACTCGGTGACGGTGTTCCGTCACAACATTAATTTGGTTAAAGAAGAAATCAACATTTAACAATAGAAACGAGTAGAAATAAGAAGGGAAGGTGAAGAAAATAATGATGAAAAAGAAATTTAAAAGAAAAAAAATGGGAGGGGACAGGTACTATCCAAATGTATAATAATAAAATAGTGGATTTGTTCCTGTCAAAATATAATACTGAGAGTAATATAACCAATTGTATGTCTGAATCTATTGTATATCAATATGTAACAGGGCGTGTGGAATTGTCTACAGGAGAAACTCTTTACTTATATCATTTTCCCAGATGTCCCAATGAAACTACAAATTCACTTTTTGAGGTAAGGGTTGCCGCAAAGCCTGTTCATACCTTTTGTTATCGAGCATTAACATCAGTGCTTCCTTAATTGATGGTAAAGTAGTAGACTTCCAATAACAAGGTATGATCGACATGGCCAACCATGTTTCTATCTAATTTACTTGATGTCTTTGGGAGATTTTTGAATAATCCCACCTCCGGAGAGAAGGTTATAATTGACGGATCTATCTTTTTATTCAGTAAATGTATTCCCTGCCAGAAAGGCTTCATTTTGTACTTAAAGGACTACTATAGGCACCCAGACCACTTCAGCTTAATGAAGTGGTCTGGGTGCCTGGTCCAGCTAGGGTTAACCTTTTTTTATTTTATTTTTTATAAACATAGCAGTTTCAGAGAAACTGCTATGTTTACACTGAGGGTTAATCCAGTCTCTGGAGCCTCTAGTGGCTGTCTCATTGACAGCCGCTAGAGGCGCTTGCGTGGTTCTCACTGTGAAAATGTTTTTCTTGTAAATGCTTTCCTGTGAACTGGCTGAATGCGCGCGTGGCTCCTGCCGCGCATGCGCATTCAGCCGATGACGTCGCTAGGAAGGAGGAGAGGGGGAGGAAAGCTCCCCACCCGGCGCTGGAGAAAGGTAAGATTTTAACCCCTTCCTCTCTCCAGAGCCCGGCAGGAGGGGTCCCTGAGGGTGGGGACACCCTCAGGGCACTATAGTGCCAGGAAAAAGAGTATGGTTTCCTGGCACTATAGTGGTCATTTAACTTTGTTTTAAAATGAATAAGCCTAAGCCATAAGGAACAGACATTGGGGGCACATTGCGACCACATTAGTAGTGTTTGCAGCTGTTACATCAAGATATATTGTACAATTTGAGATGGCTGATGCATCCTAACGAGTGACTTTACATTCAACTAGCTTATACACAATATGACAAGCATCTCAAGCTTTGGCAACCCAGATACCCGTGGACTACATCTCATTCAAAGAATTATGGGAGTTGAACGCCATAAACATCTGGGGAGACAGCTTTTAAAATCCAGGCAAAATCAATTCCAGAATGTAATTTCTCATCAAAATCAAATTTTAAAAGTTGCAGACTGCTATTCTACAGACACTGGTAAAAGTGCGCAATGTGTTAGATATGTTGCATACCTCCTTTACTATTGCATCATTTTCTATCTAAACCATGGGTCGTCAACCTGGTCCCTACCGCCCACTAGTGGGCGGTTCAGGATTCCAGGTGGGCGGTAGGGATTTTCTAATTTTGAGAGACCAGGCGGATGGGTGCGAGCCGGCAGTAACCCTGCGACCGGGTACCGCCATCACCATTTGCGGCCCCGGCCCGCGCGGCAAACCGCCAGGGCTGCATATGGAGGGTTCCATCGGGTGGCCCATGCTGTCAGGGCCACCCGATGGATGTGGATTGTAAGGGGGCCCGGTCAGCGCTGGGCACTTTAACAGCGCGACCGAGCCCCCTGTGATTACATCACCGAGCTGGGAGGAAGTGACTGCACGTCACTCCTCCCAGCTAACACTGAGAGCCGGAAACAGGAGGGTGACTAAAATATTTTGTGTGTGTTTGTTTGTGTATGTGTTATAGAAACATAGAATGTGACGGCAGATAAGAACCATTTGGCCCAAATCATGCTGCAACTGTATAGTTTCTGAATTGTGTGTGTGTGTGTATATACAGGAAGTGCAGAATTATTAGGCAAATGTCTATTTTGACCACATCATCCTCTTTATGCATGTTGTCTTACTCCAAGCTGTATAGGCTCGAAAGCCTACTACCAATTAAGCATATTAGGTGATGTGCATCTCTGTAATGAGAAGGGGTGTGGTCTAATGACATCAACACCCTATATCAGGTGTGCATAATTATTAGGCAACTTCCTTTCCTTTGGCAAAATGGGTCAAAAGAAGGACTTGACAGGCTCAGAAAAGTCAAAAATAGTGAGATATCTTGCAGAGGGATGCAGCACTCTTAAAATTGCAAAGCTTCTGAAGCGTGATCATCGAACAATCAAGCGTTTCATTCAAAATAGTCAACAGGGTCGCAAGAAGCGTGTGGAAAAACCAAGGCGCAAAATAACTGCCCATGAACTGAGAAAAGTCAAGCGTGCAGCTGCCACGATGCCACTTGCCACCAGTTTGGCCATATTTCAGAGATGCAACATCACTGGAGTGCCCAAAAGCACAAGGTGTGCAATACTCAGAGACATGGCCAAGGTAAGAAAGGCTGAAAGACGACCACCACTGAACAAGACACACAAGCTGAAACGTCAAGACTGGGCCAAGAAATATCTCAAGACTGATTTTTCTAAGGTTTTATGGACTGATGAAATGAAAGTGAGTCTTGATGGGCCAGATGGATGGGCCCGTGGCTGGATTGGTAAAGGGCAGAGAGCTCCAGTCCGACTCAGACGCCAGCAAGGTGGAGGTGGAGTACTGGTTTGGGCTGGTATCATCAAAGATGAGCTTGTGGGGCCTTTTCGGGTTGAGGATGGAGTCAAGCTCAACTCCCAGTCCTACTGCCAGTTCCTGGAAGACACCTTCTTCAAGCAGTGGTACAGGAAGAAGTCTGCATCCTTCAAGAAAAACATGATTTTCATGCAGGACAATGCTCCATCACACGCGTCCAAGTACTCCACAGCGTGGCTGGCAAGAAAGGGTATAAAAGAAGAAAATCTAATGACATGGCCTCCTTGTTCACCTGATCTGAACCCCATTGAGAACCTGTGGTCCATCATCAAATGTGAGATTTACAAGGAGGGAAAACAGTACACCTCTCTGAACAGTGTCTGGGAGGCTGTGGTTGCTGCTGCACGCAATGTTGATGGTGAACAGATCAAAACCCTGACAGAATCCATGGATGGCAGGCTTTTGAGTGTCCTTGCAAAGAAAG